GTGTGTGTGTGTGTGTGTGTGTGTGTGTGTAGGTTAAAAGACAACCTTCAGAGAGTCAGTTTTCTCTTTTCTCCAAATGGATCAAACACAGGTCATTAAGTTTAGTGACAAGTGCATCTGCCTGCTGGGTGCTATCTCTCTTTCTGTCTTCTATATTCCATCTTTTTTCTCTCTCTCCCTCTCTCCCTCCTTCCCTCCTTCCCTCCCTCCCTCCCTCCCTCCCTCTCTTTCCTCCTCTTTCTCTGCTCTGTCTCTCTATCCCCTCACCTCTCTCTCTTTTCTCATATACTCCCAATCATCCCTGTCTCTGATTAAACTGTGGGTAGTACGTGAGGATGGTCCCACAGCTAGGACATGACATGAGGTGCATGTCTCAGCCAACGAAGGGCTTTCACACTTACTGTTTCGTATTAGCTTTCCGCATTATTGAGTAGTTACTCCTGTTCATGAAGGGAGTTACTCTGGCTGTAATTTGGTTCAGTAGAAGCATCATTTACTATACTAGTGGTACCCATAGTCATGTACAGTTCATACGTCACTTGTTATTTTTGTGAAATTTAACATAAGATGGGCATTTTCATTTTCATTTCACGGACAAGAAAAGAACAGGCTGGATATAAATGACAAAGTGAAACAGGTTTAAAATACATTGCTGCCATTCTAAAGATACTGGTGTTTAGGGTCATGTCAGTTTTATTTATAATCTAGCACCATCTGCCCAGGGGTGGCACTGCCTTCCAGGGGTGGCAGGCCTTCCCAAACAGTCAAGAAAATGGCCACAGGCCAATCTGGTGGAGACATTTTCTCAGTTGAGTTTTCTTCTTTCCAGATAACTCTAGCTTGTATCAGGTTGACAAAAACAAAAACAGAGCAACAACAACAAAACAAACAAAGGGCAACTAACCAGGGTAACTTACCAGAGTCACTAACCAGGATAACTAACCAGGACAACGAACCAGGGTAACTAACCAGAGTAACTAACCAGGGCAACTTCTCATAATACTTATATTCACTTTGAATTTTGAATTGTATTAACCTGAATTAAAATTTTGTGTTTGGTCTGGAAGTGTTACGTTTTTACTTTGTGCTTGAGGGTATTTAACATTTAGTGTTCATCAGATATTCAAATCAGTATGGAAGGAATCTGTACCATCTGTTATCACTTTAGCATGTCCATAATTTAGTTTCCTAATAGATTCCAAGTACCCTATCTACTATGCTCAATTTTACTGCCATTGAACATAGCAGTGTGTATATAGTAAGTAGTTGGGAACTATTTCCCAGGCTTGCTTGCATACCTACATGTGGCTGGCTGGCTCCACTGTAATGCCTGCAGTAGAGTAAGTCAGGTTATTACCTCAGCCTCGTGAGTGCAGCTGCTCAGGAAGTCATTACAGAAGGGAATGGGCAGTGGGCCTTAAAAAAAAACAAAACGAGAGCTGAGGATGGTTCCACAGTCCAGGCACCATCTGTTCTTGCAGAGGACCCAGGTTCAGTTCCCAGCACACATCAGTTCACAGACATCTGTCTCTCCAGTTCCAGGGGTTCTGATTCCCTCTTCTGGTGTTCAAGAGCACTGCATGTAGTGAAGGGGAGTCACACATGTAGGCAAAATAGCCATACACATAAAATAAGACTAAATAAGTAAAAAATGTGTGTGTGTGCGTGTGTGTGTGTGTGTGTGTGTGTATGTGTGTGTGCATGTGCACTCGTGTGTGTAGCTGCGATGATCAGAAGATGGTGCCAGAGCCTTTGGAACTGGAGTTATAGATATTTATGAACCACCATATAGGTGCTGAACCAGGTCTTTTGCAAGAGGATCTGCATTCCAACCTAGCAGAGTACGTTTATTCCGTTAAGACAATTGAAACATTATGCATTACTGTTAAAAGTAATAAAAATTTTAAGGTTTGATATTTAAGAGTTAAATGTAAAATATCATAAAAATCTATTATATAACCTCAGTGTCTGGTCATAGTAGAAATCCAATAATCATAGAGTTTCTGTATTTACCTAGTAGTAGTAGCCCTACAGTATAGCGGTGAGCAAAAGCAGACATTGAACATGCACATGTTATGTTCGTATTTGAATAATTTTGGTTTGTTTTTTATAAGGAACATCCCAAGAAATCAAAAGGATTTGATTTGCTTAGAAAATTATTTTATGAATAGTAATACCAGTTAATTTTTTCAAGTGTTTCTAACATTCTAGAATCATGGGAATGCTGCTTTTCTTCTGATGGAAAGTGACAAGCTCATCACGGGTTTACCCAGAGTAAAATGGACAGAAGCAGCCCTGTCAATGGCATCTCAACTCCAAGAAGAGTGTGTAACGTTTATTGTAGAAAACTTCTCTCAGATCATTGAAAGTGAAAACTTCACTCTTCTCTTCCAGGTGTGTGTGTAGATTGTATGCTCTGGTTGATCCCATCTTTGTGTTTTGGGTTTAATTACATAAGCATTTTTAAGTCAGGTTGCCTTTGATTAAATTATTCTGGCTTGAGTAAACTCCACAGCAGATGGCATATTTGCAGCAGATTTGGAGCAGTGGTGGACAGGATGCTTTGGCTCACAGAGGAGAAGGCAGGAGGAACAGGCTGAGTGCCCTGGCAAGGCACAGTGTCTCTTGGGCCAGCTGGAGCCCTCATCACCATGGTCACACTTTAGAGGCCCAAGTCGTGAAGATAATGGTTCTTGAAAACTCCATTTTCATAAGGAGCCACATTCTCTAAAATCAGTCACTGGATGAAAGTGCTGTCCTTATTTCTTGGTTCTATTATTAAGGCTGTATTAGCTTTTGAAAACGCTGTGCACACATGTGTGTACATGTTTATGTGCGCATGTATATGTGTGCATGGTGGGTCTATGTGTGCATGTGGGGGTGTCTGTGTATGCATGTGTTATACACGTGTGTGTAGGACTCTGTGTGTGTGTGTGTGTAGGACTCTGTGTGTGTGTGTGTGCATGTGTGCGTGCATGTGTTATACATGTGTGTGTAGGACTCATGTGTGTGTGTGTGTTTGTATGTACATGTGTGTGCATGAAATGAGGAGTGACCATGCCCATGCAGTTTTTCTAGTAGGTATGGAAGAGCAGCTACGGTTTCAGGTGATGTTATGTAGCCGCCATGGCAGCTGCACTGCTGTCACCCTAGACTCTACATTCCTCATGTGTTTTACATGTATTTCATCAAATGTCAAACTCTGTGTTCTTTAGTCACAGGCAATGAGCAGCACAGCTCATCTGTTAGACAAAGTTTTCAAAGCGATTGAAGACAGTGTTACCGCTGAGAACAGTTGCTCTCTCTTCATGGCTCTGGACACATTACTGAATTCTGAAAGCACAAAGGAAATGGTACTGAATGCAGCAGAATTCATTAAACTAATGTAATATTGGAAATGGTTTAAGATTTTAAGTTGTCCATGCAATTTTAAATGTCGTACAGGCCGTTGAAGTTAGGTACTAGACACCTTGGGCTTGATACAGCTTCTTATATATATTTGGAATATTTAATAATAAATTTTTTTCAGTTATGTTTGCCTTCAAATTAGCATTTTATAAAAGTTTAGAATTTGGACGTTTGGCTCCTTAATTCTAAGCATAATTTGGGACTTAGGAGTATTATCTAACACAATGTAACTTTGGTATTTTTCTCTAATAATTACAGTAACTTATATGTATAAAGTGTATATTTTAGTGTCTTTAGTAATTAATGCCTTTTATAGTATTAGTAATTTATTTTTTTCAAAATAAATCTGATTTTTAAATTAGACTGAGTAGGAAAAATAAAATGTAAATATTTATTTTTAAATGCAATTAATCAGCGACAATAAGGTAATTATGAATTACTGTCATTTTTATTCTATAAGAATGATAACATGTTTCATTAAATTTATTATTACTACATAGAGTATTTGACCTTGTAATGTCATAGTTGATATGAAAAGGTTGAGGAAGGTGTTCATAAAAAAAAAAACCCACTGATGTTTTAAAATAACATGTAGTTTAAAGAGTAGCATTTAGTTTCGTGTTCACTATAAAATCCTGTTAATGAGTAAGCCTTCATAAATAGCATGTACTCAGTGATCTTAGAAATGTAACTGATGACATCATTGATGTAGCTTAGGAGTAAGTAGATTCGGGGAGGAATAATGACTGGTTGCTATGACAATGTGGCTCACCAGCTGCTGATTTGTTGCTGGAACACAGGGCTTTACGTGCAGGATCCAAGCTGTGCGTGATAAGCTGTGGACCTTCCTGGTTCAGTCTTTCTATGCTGTTCGTCACACAGAAAGCTGGAAACTGATGCACACAGATGATCAGCAGAAAATCCAAGCAGGTATGTTGTTCCTCGGGGTTTGTATTCTCAGAGGATGGTCTGTGTGAGAGCAGATAGTTTGAAGGCGTTCTGAATGCTAGTTAATTCGCATTTGTGAGCTTCTGTTCAGCCATGGAGTGCTACCCAAAACTAGCATTGTGTTAGGCAGCTTGGAGAAACCGTGTTTCCCGTGCTGTTCTTAGAAAATGAAACTTATTTCCTTTGTATGTAATTATTAATTTTTAATCCTCCTATATAATAACTATAATATTCCAGCCACATTTGCTTAAAAAAAGATAAAAGCATCTTTGTGGGAGCTCAAAATAAAAGGACATAATCTCTACAGTCAGACCACCAAGTGTACTTTCTCCCTTTTAAAATGTATTTTACTAAAGCTTTCCATCTCTTTCACAAGAACCTCTCCTTGTGCTTTTGCCAAGATTAGATGGCTTTATTTCACAATTGATTGGTTCAGGGATGCAGTGTGTGCTATTGCGGAGGGTCCCTTAGGAGCCGAACAGTGATCTCTGACATTTACTAGGAGCTGTTTGAAACATTAGCATTAAACAAAGGATGTATGTCTCTCAGAAAGTGTGTGTGCTTTAAAATATTGAAATAGAATTCTGAGGGTGTGGAACTAAAATGGCTTCGTGACTATTTTTAGGTTAAAGCAGGTGTCTCAGAAATAACTGCCATGTTCGGCAGCTCTGCTTTTTCTTTAAAAGACTGTATTTTATGTAACAAACATTTTAGTGCTCTAAAACATGGAAGCCGTGTACGATAAATTATACCTCAACTTTGTTAAATTCTTAAGTGAAATATTCATGGTTAGACATGCTTAGAAAAGCAACTAGGTATAATTAATTTAAAGAACAGTTTTCAAAGATACTCCTTTTTCATGTAATAAAAATTATCAAATCTTTAGAGATTGAACACTTTCCTTGTGACTTTTCTGTACTGGTTTCAGACACTAGCTATTCTTTCACATTGTGTGACTGTGAAGAAGCCTAGGTCAGCATCCCTTTAGCAGGCAGCCTGTGAGCTTGCTTCTCATTGGCAGCAAACTTTGTGTTTCTCTTTTTTAGAGGAATTCACAACAAAGTTGAATTCCAGTGTTCTGTAATCTTTCATAGTAGCAATTAGAAATCCGTATGCTCACACATGCATACACACCTGGACAAACTGTCAGTGTGATGCAGTTAGGTATTGTGTGAGCTTCTCATGTTGTTGGCCTGTATTAGGGTAATCCTCCAATTGCAGATGTGTTGAACTGTAAGGAATCCTGACTTGTGTGTAACTATTGTCTTGGGTCACCTTTGTTCTAACATTCTGAGGTTTTTACTGAGGTACTGACTTGAGAATCTTCATTAATTCTGTGTGTTATTATGCAGTCATTTGACTGCTGAACATCAGTTCTTGCCGTCTCCAGGGTTTCTTGCTCTGCCATACAGCATGTGGCCTATGGCACAGAGACTGTAGAAGATGTTTGATAGCTGTTTTACTGGAGATATATATATATATTTGAGAAATTACATGTGCAAATAAATTCCTTCTTCAAAGTAACACTTCAAAGCTTCGAAGCCTGTAAACCTTGAAAGTCTGAACTGGACTTTACCCGAATCATATTATTTCATGCATCTTTCTGGTTCTGGTTTAAAGGATAAACATGGGTTTCTCAATAATTCCCAAATAAACTTAACTTATAAAGTGAAATTTTACTTAGCTCCAGTAAGAATGAGATGGCTTGCAGGATTGTTTCCTGCTTTATTTTCAGGGATAACAAAATCTGTTTCTCTTCTCTTTCCACAATCCTATAATAAATCTGTAAAACCAGAAACTATTTTTAATTTCAGTAGTGTATACCTGGAGTAATTGGATATTTTTCATATTAAATTTATATATAAAGTACTAAATGTTTTGACATTCAGAAACAAATGAAACTGGTTATTTAAAATTTTATAGCTTGTGAAAATTGTAGATTTCTTAAATGAACGTATGTGATTTTACATTTTCATTTATGAGCTTTAAGAACATGAACTTTTCTGGACCATAGAATAAGACTGAAGTATCTTTATTCTAAAATGCGATGGTAAATAGTTTGTGCTGCTTTGGATTCAAGTGGTTTGTTTGTTTGTTTGTTTGTTTGTTTTTAATTTCTATCAAAATACAGATTTTTCTCCTGGCTTTCTGTTACTCTACACATCTCTGCTAATAATGTTTCTGATTTTCATTTTTGTTTGTTTACAGCTGCACTTGACAAAGGTGATGACCGAAGGCTTGGCAGGAAGCCTGTGCTCTCCAGCTCGCAGGTACACTTCCAGTGTCGCATAGGCTCCAGTGAGAGAGCAATGAAAATTTATTATTCTACAATTCAAAAATCACTTTTAATTAATTAAAGACATTTTTAAGAGGAAATAACAACTAAGCATTTAATATATACATTTTAAATGATGTGAATGTCCCAAATTCATTTTGCATAGGAAATATATGCCTTTTTCATTCCTTGAAATTCTTTTTGGCAGATAACATATTGGCGCTGTTCCAATAAACAAGGAATTGTTAAGATGTCTAGGATTCAGTTCGGTGCCTGCTTTTAGTCAGACAGCTTTGTCACAAGAGGAGGCTCATGTTCCAGGTTTCTCTTTGCAGGGTAAAAAGAAGCAAGTGCTGTTAAGAGCACAGTGTGTTTTATTTTAAGTTTATTTAGAATACTGTTATACAGTCAAAAGTAGTCAAATACTTAGAATTGGTAAGTACAGCAGTAATGCCCTGGCTTGAGGGTATGAGGTTAGACACATAAACAGACTGCCTTCCAGTGATTACAGCACGACAAGCTTCTAGGGTTCTAAAGAACCACTGTGTAATAAAGCTGCTGTTTCCTTCCGAATGGAGGTGCTGCCTGCTTTGGGCCCTGGTGTTTCCCTCCGCCCTTCCCCAGCTCAGCTCTTGTTAGGATGTCTTTTCCTCCATATCCTCTGGATGGCCAGTGCTGTCCTGTCATCTAGGATTTTTTTTTAAATGTAAGCTTTTCAAGTGTACATATTGTGTTTCTATAAGCTTTTGTCATTTTCTTTTAATAAGGATTCCCAGAGTTGAAGAATTTTTGGTGAAAATTTTTATAATATCTCTCAGATTACAATTAGATGACCACATCATAAGCTCAAGTCTCAATTCTGTCCTTTCCAGGCATGTGACCTTGGATAAATCACATGTGTGCTTTAATACCCAGTTTCTTATCTAACAATAGAAGACAGCTGTAGAAGCTATTTCAAAGGATGATTTTGTAAGGATGAGTGAAGTGATGGGCCCTGAGAAAGGGCTTCAGAAACTCTGAAGTGTTATCACTCAGGGAAGCCTGAATTTCTATAGGTTAATTTCTATTGTAATACCACAAATTAAATAAGCATATTAATGCTTAATATTCAATGCCATATTTCAGAAATGATTAATTGTAACCAAAGTTTTTTATGAAAATGATGAGAGATATCTTAAGTTTTGAGTGATCCTAAGTCATAATAAGAATTTAAAGGCTGAGCTGTGTTGCTCCATGGGAGAACACTGGCCTAGCATAATGTGAGCTTTGCTCC